GTGTTTTGTCGTAATCCTAAGTGGCTGGTACAGATTTTTGACGCTGATTAAATGTAATAGTAATAACCTTCGTGAATCACACAATGTAACAAATGTATTCCAATTTTCATCAGTCGTATGTTATAAAAAGGAATAATCAAGTGTTCCTCCAGACTTCTTCTCTTCCCATTTAAAGATCTAACCATTCAGGGGATTATGCCATCGTAACCTCGTTGCCCTTATTGGTGTTGTACTTGATGACACAAACATCTACATGGTCACTGAGTACATGGCGAATGGGAATCTCGTTGATCTGTTGCGTTCGCGTGGTCGTCACCAGTTAGATAAGATGCAGCTGATTCAGTTTGCAATGTAAGTTTGATTTTGATTTCATCTTCTTACAGTTATAACTTGATTTCGCTATGTTATACCTGTAGGGATGTCTTGTCACTTCTCGTCGTCATTGATAAGTGCAAGATATGTGAAGTGTAGCTAACCTGCGCAGTCCATAAAATATCTTCCTAATGTCTCGTATATTGTCATACACTGAGAACAGTTGTTTTCGCTGGAAAGAAGAACGTATGTTATGCTAAACTATTATCAACTGATGGTATTTATTTGCCTGAAACGCTTTCTTTTCTCTTCGTTACCTTTGTAGTATTAACATCAATTTTCTTTTGCTCTGTAATTAGCATCTTAAGAAAAAGAAGTAGTTGATGGTTTTGATGTGAGATAGGGCTAACTTCGGTGTCTTTTCCGCTTTTTCTGAAGCATACTCTCAGTCTGACTTTGAGGGAATTTTTTTACTCTCGAAATACGCGGCTCTTGTTGAGGAGAGTGTCAATACTTGTGGCAGACGATTTCTTACGTTGTCCGTCACCCATTTGATAATAATGTATAAGAGAATATCGTTCTTGATCTTCACATCATTCTTCTGGTCATCATGGTCATGTTCGTTTTGAATTACTCAACTCTGTGTTCTGACTATCTTGTGTAATATTCATTAACGGTATTAATGTTTAGTAGTGTTGGCACCTGCCAAAATTTCCCCTCTTATTGCATCAAAGAGACTTTAGCTTGTTGTTTTTTATGCAATGTCACACTAAAAGTAATTTTAGCGACATATGCGAGGGAATGTGCTACCTGGAAGCACGCCAAATCGTACATCGTGATCTGGCTGCTCGCAATGTGCTACTCGATGAGGAGCTTGTGGCGAAAGTTAGCGATTTTGGCTTAGCCAAAAAAGCGAATTCTCCGGCACACGACAACGCATCTGGCAAATTTCCTATTAAATGGACAGCGCCCGAAGCTCTACGACATAGTGTAAGTGCCAGTGTGGCTTGTGACTGTTAGCTCTATATTAGCTCGTGCACGCCAGCTATCATTATTTCTATCTGTCGGAATTTCAGAATTTTTCAACTAAAAGTGATATGTGGTC